TGCTAGTCTAAAGGGAAGAACCATTTTCAAAAATACAAAACAATTTTAAGAGTAATTTCTATGTATCCTGTAGAGACAAAATCACTCTTGTAAAAGGAATATGGTGCACCCCTCACCTTTGCAAAGGAAGAATGAACACTTGACAAGGTGTGAAGTCACACAGGCATAAATGACCAACACATCCAGACTTCAAATCCTCTCAAGACATACACTTACGTCAGTTGTATGTAGTAGTTTTGCAGATAAAACCCAACAAAGAACATTTTAATTTCACTTCCTGGGTTCAAACTATAATTAACTTTGAATTAAATTACTATTATAATTGCTCAAATCAGTCTCCATGCAGGATAATCAGAAAACAAAGATGTCAGCAGCCACTGACAGTGATAGATATGATTCACCAAGAACAATGTGGGAAAGCTCTAGCAGAAGTAGCGACAAAACCCAAGCACCAATGCAACATCTAGTATTTCCATCTTTTCTTCAGCTCAACACCACCTCCTTCCCAGAACTCTTTCAACCAGTCCCTTCCCCATATGTCTACATGATCTCAAGACTTTCCAAGCCCATGTCCTTTACCTGTTCATCTGCCTCTCCTCATTCTGAGTGCTTCCTTCTCTTGTTTTTTTTTCTTAAATATGTCTCCTGTGTTTCTTCCACCTTGCTAAGGTTTGGATTTGATTCTGTCACAGTGCTCAGGTTTAGCAAAAGGCAGACAAAGTGATGTTTGGCAAAGAAGTAACTTGCAAAAGGAAGCACTAAGCAATCCTTGCCAGAGATATGATTACCACATTCAACAATTTCCTGTCACCTGCAAAAGAAACAAAATAGCCCAGGTTCTCTTTCCCTAAAGAAGAAGAAAAGAGAGGTGGGAATAATGTGACTTGAGAAGTTAGTTTTGCCTTCCTTTTCTCTAGTTTGATCTACAATACACTGTAATTCATTTTATGTAGAGAAGTCTGGGGACTTCAGAAAATTTACCCCAGCTTTTACAGTCCCAAAGAAACCAAATGCTTGAAAAGCTGAGAGAGTGGTGAGTCCACCACCACCACCATCCCTGCTAAGCCAGAGAGCAGAGTAGAAGTGAGGGAGCAGGCACAACTGTTGAAATGAAGCACCATGAGACAGTACAGGAAAACTAAACCTGCAGGAACCAAGAGCCATGACCCAGGAAGAACAGGAGGACACAATAAATCAAACTACAATGCCAAGTACAACTTTGCTTGAACATTGTGCTCATTAAGTAAATTCAGTATAACACCTGTCTGTAGGTGCCCTGCTCACATATGCCACTTCCTCAGAGAGCATGCACAGCAAAACAAATGTGCACTGGGTCTTACATGCAGACAAGAGAATGAAAAGCCAATGACTTCACAGTTAGGTTGTTACATATAAGGGAAATGCCAATTTTTTACTGTTCACAGTGTATAAAGAGGAGCCCCTGGCATATTGAAGATGTGTTAGCATTATGGATTTACCACCTAGAACCTGTTCTGTGTACAGACATGAACTAAAATCAAGAATCTTGACTCTGTGTGTGGATTGTCTTCCTGAACACTGGGTGAAAGAATCCATATTTAGGATAACACAATATGTTGGCATTCTGGCCACTTGAGAATTCTGTCAGAGTAGGGAACATTTGAGCCTGGGCTCCAATCATTTGGATCCATTTCAAGAGTATAAAAAATTTCTGCAAGAGCTACTGCAGCTCCATCAGTCTTTCATTGTTACACAAAAAATAAGAGTGCTGTCTGGACTTTGCGTGGTAAGGACCTGAATTTTGGCTCATTTCTTTTAAAAATACCCATTAAAAATGAAAGAAGAAGCAGGAACAGAAGTCCAGTCATTACACAGGTACAAGAAAATCCAGTGGCACAGGGAGTTTCCACAGACAAAGGATTTCCCACAACCTATTGTTGGAAACACTGTGATTCAACTGCTCACTTCTTGCTCAACAGGCTGCTGATTCAACCAGAAGAGGATGCTGGTATGTCTCACCTTCTGCATTCCACCTACTGCAAACTAAATCAACAAAAAAACTGGCTTTGAGAAAACATGTGACTATATCTCATGCTAGTTTCAAATTATTTACATTACAATCCTTTGGTTGTACAATATCACCCTTTTGTCAATGCCATTTAAAGATACATATAATAATTTATCACGAATTTTAACTGCTGCTGTCTCTTATCTTGCTAAATTCCAGTTGGATATTTCACTAGAAGCAGCTGGTTAGAAGGAGAAACACAGACTATAAAATACTTTCAGATTCACTGCTGTATGAGGAAACTACAGACCAGAAAAATCATCAACATACAAACTTATAAAATAATCAGATAAAATGTGTTTTACAGCTGGAGACAAATCCTGTCTATGAAGAACAGTCTGCTTGTGAAAATTAATGACCTGCTGCAACTCCCCAGAGAAAGCCCTCAGGTAAGGAATTCAGATGGAAGCAGCCAGAAAGTCAGTGGAGGCTATTTTAAACCCAAGCTATTCTACAGCTACTTCCAGGTGCAGCCCTAAATTCAGCAACAGTATCTGTTTCCCAGAAGCAGATTTTAAGCTGTCTCTGACAGGTAACTGGAGATGGGCAGTGCAGCTCCAGAGGCATGGCATGCAGCTAGCCTCCAAAATAAAGCATGAGCTGTTATTTTTCAGAGAACAGATTGTTCTACAGCACAAGTTATATGCATTTCTTTCTCATATTCACAGAGGCTTCTGGATGCTGGCAGGGGAAAGGACAAACAATTCCCTAGAGTGGAGTAGGAAGCAGAGACAGGAGAAGTGTGGCTAGAGGCTAACAGATTAGCCATTACCAAATTTATAATCCATGTAGACTCTAAAACATGTTAAATATCTTGGAGCTATATTTTTAGCACCTTAGGACTGAAATAACAGGAAATGAGCTTGTTTTAATAACACAAAGAAGCTGCATTAGAGAAAAAATGAGGGGAAAAGGAAAACTAACCCTTCCAGGTGTATTTTTTGCACACCAGCACAGATATGCACACAACAGATACTGCTGAATTCAATCCTAAAATCATGAATGTATCACTGCTCTGCCGAAACCAACAAAAATACCTTCACTGCAGTGAAGCAGCTGCACCTGTGCTCCACTTAAAATATCATGAGTGATGCATCTGAAGTAAACAAGACCTGAGTGTTTTGTTGGTGAAGGCACAGACTTGCTCCTTAAAGTCCTAAACTTGAAAAAAATGCTGATAAATGGAAATAATGAAAGAAGTTAAAAAGTCATTGTTTAAAATTACTTGAAATTCCTATTAGAACAATAACACATCAATTATTAATTGGCTTATAACCAAAATATAAACCAACTGTGTTTTGATCAAGTCTGGATACATCTCATTAGTCTCTAACAATGAGGACTGTGTTACAATTTACCAGGAAAGCTTTAAAAATCATGAATAGTCCAAATAAAAGAAAAAGGTTCTGAACCATCCAATATAAACTAGGAGGTCTGCAAATATGGTGACATCTGAAATGAAATGTATATTTAAAGACTACATGGGGAACAGTGCCTGTATCTACTGCTGTCCAACACTTGCTGAAGTAGACATAGTTTTGAACTCCTTTTAAACATGTATGTTTAATTATCTGAATGAAGATTTTTCAGTTAAGCATCTGATCAGGTGATTTAAAAAAAATTAAAGGAAAACCTTTCTAAAAAAGAAAAACCATGCAGGCATCTCAACAGAACTAGTGGGAAATACATTGCTTAGCTCTCCCTTGTACTGCTTTTAAAAGAACAAAAAGCAATAGCAAGATAATAGCAAGACAGGTTTAATTGAAAAGCTGCACTACCTTAACATTTTGAAACACGGACTTCCCACCTTGAAGGGAAATCAGGGATGTGCTTTTGCCTGTTCTAGAGAAACCCACAGAAAACCGACAGCGAGAGGTCTCTGTGCAGACACACACGGCAGGGAGCTGAGTTCTCCCGGCACCGCCGTGCCCTGGAACTGAGGATCGGCCGCGCCGGACCTGGACCTGGACCTGGACCTGGACCTGGACCTGCCCCGGACCGGCCCGGATCAGCCGCGGAGCAGCCGCGCGCTCCCGCCGGGCCGGGAACGCGCCGAGCCCCGGACGGGAACGCGCCGAGCCCCGGACGGGAACGCGCCGAGCCCGGGCCGGGAACGCGCCGAGCCCCGGACGGGAACGCGCCGAGCCCGGGACGGGAACGCGCCGAGCCTGGGCCGGGAACGCGCCGAGCCCGGGCCGGGAACGCGCCGAGCCCCGGACGGGAACGCGCCGAGCCCGGGACGGGAACGCGCCGAGCCTGGGCCGGGAACGCGCCGAGCCAGGGCCGGGAACGCGCCGAGTCCCGGACGGGAACGCGCCGAGCCCCGGACGGGAACGCGCCGAGTCCCGGACGGGAACGCGCCGAGCCCGGGCCGGACAGCGCGCGGGCGCGGCGCCCCCTGGCGGCCTCTGGCAGCGCCGCCACCGCGCCCGGAGTTTGTCCGTCCTTTGTCCGTCTGTCCGTCCTTCGTCCGTCCTTTGTCCAGGGGAAGAGCGAGGCCCTGGTTAATAGAGCCAGTAAAGGGCTCACCCTCTACACGCAGCAGCCAGGTCAGGTGGCAGGAAGGCAGTGGGAAGCAGATTTAAAACCTCGGTTCTCTGCAGCCACAGCCATCAGTTTTGTTCCTCAATCCAACTGCTGCACTTCCATCTTCCACAATACAGAGGTGGCATCACCTGAGAGTGGGGTGTCTAAACTACAGTGTCCTCAATCCTTCCCAAAGCACTACCCATATTCCCAACGCTGTGGGTTTGGTGGGGGGAAGTTAAAAACTCTGCCACCCTGTAGGAAGCTGGGAAGAGAAGTTAAGAGAACTGGCAACTTCAATATTTTATACCTGCTGAAGAGATGTCTTTGAAATTGTGTATTGTTTAAATGTAGCATTTGTGTCTTTTGAAAGATAATATTTAAATAAGGGTATGTTTTAATCACTTAATGAAAAGAGATAATTTACCTGATTTATGGTTTCTTCAAATGCTTTTATATAATGATTAAGTTCTCTGTCCATTGTAGCATATTCTAACATGACTTTTTCCATATTGTTTACATCTTCTTCATCATCTGCAAAATAAAATATGTGGAACATGCGTGACCAATTGTATTATTTTCAGGCAGCATTTTTTTTTTCACAGATGTTTTATTTACAAGTATTCATGCCATGAATATCTAATGCATTTGTAAGTCTCAGCAGGTGTTTTCAAGCTATTCAAACATACATTTTTTTTCTCATTTTGCAACTGGAATCTTTGACATTTCTTGGGTAACCTGATCAAACAGCTTACTCAGAAAGACACTTCCCTGGTTTCATGTGAACAAGAGAGAGTATGTGTAATTTCATCTACCAACACCTAGTCATTAGGCAATCAGGATATTTTCTGCAAAAGTTGTATTTCATGACTCATCACATTGCCTCAGAAATAGAAGAAACTTAAATGCCCTTGCAGTACAGTATAGTTCACAGCTATAATTAGACCTCTTATCCCCAATAAACACAGCTACAGGAAAATCAAAACAAAGCTAGCATTTTATAACACAGGAAATGATGGAAGAATGGATAGTATTTGTGATTCAAGCAGTAAAATTCTAATTGCCAGGGAAAATCAATTAACACAGGTCATGTGATTAGTAATTCATTTCTACTTTTATTCTCTTCTGCACGCCTCCTAATTCCACTCCTTTCATCTCTACACCTCTGCTTTCCCATTCTCACGTTGCTGTGCATCTGCTTAGATAAGAACCCTGTGTAGATGCCACAAGGCTGAACAGCCACAGCTGTTTATTCCTGACACAGCTGCATGTACCACACCAAATGCTGCCAACTGTAGGAGGACAGCCAGCCACAAGCCCTGAATTCATGCAGGAAATCAGGAAGCTAGGAAACCTATGTTTCCACTTCTGCTACTCCCATTTATTCCTATCCTGCAGTTTCCAGGTATAGAGAAAGCAGCTGGAAGCAGCTAGACTGTGAAAGAGCCCCAAAGTCTGCCATGCAGCATCAGGGATTGTCATTTGATGAAGGATTCTTTAAAAGCACTTAAGTACCCAATCTGTGCTGCTCTTAGGAAGAAAATTGTAGTACAGCTTTTCAATTTACTTTTTTCTGTGAAGAAATGAAAATTGTCTTCTGATCTGGCAAGCTGGCACATTGCTTAAGTTGCTAACTATATTATTATGTCAGAACATAAAAACCTATCTCTACAGAAAGCTGACACAATTGTATATGGCCATCGGTTTGGGAGCAAAATCTGAAACACATCGCTCAGAAACAGAAACATCACACCATATTGAAACAGTGATGGATCAGGGAGACAAAGGAAAAGTGCTAAGATATATTTACACAAAAGAAGTTACATAATAAGCTATGCTATTTTGTGAACACGACAATTACAGTCGTGACATTTCCCTTAATTATATATAGGCTTGGTATGTATCCATTTTTCATTAAGTAGATGAATGGATACTGCAGACAGAATCCTGGCATTCCTGCAATTTTCTTCTGAATAATCAGCATTTCCCTCTCCCCTTTCCCTTCCCTCCCACCCAGTTTCCATGTCCTATCTGGTAACTATGATCACACTATTTTTCCTTCCTGCTAGGAAGCATATGAAGTGCCTCCTTCAAGGCTGACACAAAGGACACTCCATGAATCACAGGAAAGGTTTGTGTAGCAAATAACTGTCATTCTCCTCCCATGGCCAAAATGAATCATATTCAAAGAAACTACAGTGGCCTAAATGTTTTAATTTTTTTTAGGGGAAAAGAAGTGCATTGTTAAATGCCAAGAGAGTTGTACAAACGCTGTCTTTCCTAATAGTATAAAAATAACTTCAGGTGAAGTTGCATGCAACTTGAGAGATGGATTAAAATAAAGCTCAAAGAGGTGGAACACATCTCAGCAAGAGGAACATTATCTCCAAATACATCCTGCTCTACATTTTTCCTGTACTGACCATTCCATTCATCCACCAGCCTGCTTTAAGTCTCAATACTGTTCACTGCCGTTTCCCTGATACTGTTCCTTCACACACATTACACACATCCTGGGAAACTGCTGAACATGTCACTAACACACACTCATATCCTGCCCTTGGAGGCACTATGGACATACAAATAGATCTGAAGGACTGTGTACATGTCAGTTGTTGTCCATACCCTATTTCTGCACATTGACAGATACTACAGTCCATTTTCTATCTGAGGTTCAATCCATAGGGTGCTGAGAGCTAAGAGTAAATCTATGTTTTACCCAGCCACTTACCTCCCCATCTCTTAAACAAGATTTAAAAGAAAACTTACATTACAAGCTATTCTATTTGCCTTTTAAAAACTCTCATTGTTCTACATTACACACAGAATAACCTCCTCTGCTTCCCTTTCCCCTGAAGAGCCAAGAGCATTTCTGCCCCTCCCTAGTAGGGAGCAGATGAAGGGCAGAGCTTGGGTGCACATGATAAGAAACTGAGTGACTGTATGGGGGTGTAAAGTTTTACAGCTCACCAAGGCAGGGATCACAGCACCTTCAAGGTTCCTTTACAATAGACTCCACCATAGGTTAATCAGAACACACCATCTGACTTGATCTTACTAAGGAACAAGAAATTAGAAAAGACTTTTCTCTCCTCAACACCATCCCACAACTCATTCTCACAAATCCCACAGGTTTAGCAGCACTACAGTATCAAAAATAATTAAAATGTAATAATTGCATCAGGCTTTTGAAATATTCAAAAGGCGTTGTCTGTTATTCACTCTGCAAGCCCTGCTGCTGCTTTTGTTTCATATGTGAGGGTGACAGTGGAGATCCATGCAAGGCACTGACTCTATTCCAGCAGACCATGGGAACACTGACTGCTGAATACCCTCCAGCCAGACTCCAGCTACAAAGCCAGACAACTCTCCAAAGTACTCAAACCTTGCACTCTGCAGACCAACAACCTAGCTTAATGCCAAAATCAAACACTTTGCAAGTGCTGGATGAGTGCCTTTCTATTATCTAATCAAAAGTTATCCTAATCTTATTTCTAATTCATATCTAAGGAATGCATTCCAAACTGTCTGCATATGCTTTTAGCTACTGGCACAAAATACCATTGAAGTGCATACTGTAGTCTCCTTGTTATCTAGGCTAAATATGTTGAGTTTAGTAAGCTTTTCTTCACAAGTCATTTCCCTCACCACTCAGAGATTACACATTTTGCAATATTACATTTTTTACTCATAGAAAGCCCAGTTCAAGGCCATAATTTCATTTTCAAAGGCCCGTGTGCATCATGTTAAAATTAGCTGGCTGAATATGCAGTTTGCAGTTATGAATTCCAGCTCGTACAACTTTATGATCTCTTATTATAATGGAAACAGGGATATTATTCTGAAAAGTCTCCCTAAATATTAAAGAACAAAATTGCATAAAGTGACTAGCAAGTGTTCAATTTCTCACTTCTGAAGAGACCAATCACGCTTAGGTGCCTTAATGCTGATTTAAACCATAATCAGTCAGGACTAAGTTATGTTTCATGAACTCACAGTGTTAAAACAGAAGTTGCAACAACAGAGTCCAGTCAGCACTGATTTAATACATCCTGCAGTAACGCTCATCTAAAATTTATACAAAACTTGCATTTCCTAACATCTGAGTTCATATTTACTTTAGTTTCCTGTGTACACCCACAAGTTAGCAGAATTTCTGAAGATTTTTCACAACTACCTCTTTCTGTGCAAAAGTTACCACATCAGTATTTGTTATTTAGGGTATTACAGCTGTGCTGCAGCCAGTACACACCAATCTAAATGAGCATTTGCTTTCACTGCAGACTATCTTAAACACAAAATAGCCTGGAATACCATGAAATTACAGGAAGCCTCCAAACTTACAAATACAAATGTACTTAAAATGAATGCTTAAGCACAGACAATGTGGATTAAGATGAATACATACATACTTTCATATCTTTATATTATTTGCTAACAAAAGTCAAAATTTCAATTTAAAGAAAGCAGGACATGTCAGTTCTACCTCTGGCACAGCATATTAGTTTGTTTTGAAATTCAAGGCTACACAGTGGATTTCCCATGATTCAAGGCAGAAGAGGAATGGTATACCATTGCCTGGAAATTTTGACTGTAGATTTCAGACTTTTAAAACCCAGCACTTGAGCCATTAGCAACAGTGGTAGTAGGCAGTTGTCTTCATATGCCCCAGCAGCAGATAAAATACACACTTTGCCAGCAGGTTTCAAGTTACTGCTGACAGCAGAGGAACACAAGCTCTCTGACTCCCTGATTTAGTTCCATCTTTTGGAGGAAAAAATACAGTCCCAATTCAAGATAAAACTAAGTATTTTTGCTGTCATTTATGGTAAGTCTTTCATTTACAGATCCAAAAGTGTTAAGACTACTCTCTGCACCTCCAGTTCTACTGGGTCTACTGAAAACTGTTGATAATTCAAGTTGGACAGTAGATCTTGAAAAAACTCTTAACCAACCCACACTCTTTAAGAACAGATTGACAACACACTTGGAGAAGACACTAGTGATGCTCAGCAGTGAGAGGACAGAAACCAATGTAGGAGAGCACTGTCTCATCTTCCCCCTCTGTCTACACAGGAGTGAAGCTTGCCACAGCACTTCAGACTATACAGACCAAGAGGAACTTAAGCAGGACACTGATTGCTTTTGCAGCACTGAGGGTACATGGTCAGTTTTTCTCCTGCAGATACATGGACAGCTCCTCAGAAAACTTTCATCAAAGATTTCTTTCAAAATCTCATTTCCCTGACCTGCAACATACTGTACTTATTAGGCTGCAGAAAGAGCAACCTACAGAAAATCCTAAACAGAAATACAGAAAATTCCAAACTAAAAGAAATGAGAAGCCATACAAAGGAACAGCAAAAAACTGGAGAAAATCAAATTCGTCTCCCAAATGCAGGTTTCTTAACATAGAGAAATGGTTGAATGTAGAATACCCAAAAATCCATGGAGCTGTCTGGATAGGGCACTAACCACTGCAATTCATAAGAGAAGAAAAATTACTGCTGATAAGAGGAGCAACGACCATACAG